TCTGACTGTTTTTACAAAAAGGCGGTTTTTGTTTAAGTTGTTCTCGTATGTATAAACGTTCTTTTACAATTTGCTTACTTCGTTTACTGGATTTTGATACTATCCAAACAAAATACTGGCTTTGTTGGTGACCTTGGTAATTTTAACTGGCCACTCGTTCAGCCGCCGTTTCAATATGAGAAGATAAAGATTTTCTCGGTCGACGCAGGGTGATTTTGATTTCGGCTGCGCCTTCTCAGGGTCCAACAAAAGGATATCTCTGAGGATTCACTCGGCTGTGCTTGTTAATGAGCCTTACACGGAGTGGGCTGTTCATGTTAGCTTCATAAATGGGCACTTTATGAGTTATTTGATTCTAATGGCGCCGTAATGGTTGGTCCGCGTCATTCACTGGTCAGTTGAGGCCTCCTCCATCCGTGTCTAGAATGGCCTACATCGGTATTCACAGGGTCACGGGGCCAATTTGACGAGTTCATTTCAGAGAATTCTCGAACATTTGTCTGGTCCCAGGCTGCTGGTGACTTTCAGTTTGTTCACTATGACTGACAAGGACCGCCACTGACTCAAGGGCGTTCACGTGTATTGCAAGAGACCTGCGCAACTGCCGCACCAACTCCATATTCCATTGTCAGTGTATAGTTAGGTGGCCGGAGATGTGAATTTGCGCAGTGGCTGGACGCGGCCAATTTCGTGCGGCCTGCCGTGCGCACGAAGTAGCTTCAACAAATTATGCTGCATTGCTTCTTAGGGAGTAAATGGGTATGTCTAGCCTAGTCCGCAGTATAAATAGAGTAGTCGGTAACTGCAAGGCACAGCTCTTGACTCGTCCTATTCTTAAAGTGTGCGAATTGTGCGTCGTACTGGCCTACCGGCGACAAGTAGGAGTTATTTCGACTGCGCACGGTAACTGATGTGGCACGCCATGTGTAAGCCTCCATTTGCACACGCCATACCCTTGTGTGGCTCCTCTGGGCCCAGCGTGACGGCGCAGCCTCCACTGAGGATCCAACCTAGGGGGCCTGCAGTGAATGGACCGGTCTCCTAGTTTAATGAAACATTCCCTGTAGTCCGCTCTGTCGGGTGGTGCCGGCCTATCGATTTGCATCGAAAAACTGATGGGTCACTTCACACATCAGTTTATCGCAGACGCATATCCAGAGGGCATTCTACATTTCGAGGGTAACCGCCGTCTCTTACAAACGGAGTGCAGTCTACAGCCTTCTGAATCGAGCCAAAACTCCCTGCTTTGACAAAACAATTTATAGTGGTAGGGGGCGCTCACCGATCGTTCATACGGAACTCACTCGTTCCGTTGTGCCTTATGGACTCTCTCTCGAGCCCAACCAGCAGGCGCATGATATATAGGCAGAATAGCATTACCGACAAAGACAAGGGAGACTGGAATGGCCATTTCTGGCTTATTAGCCGTCGTCAGCCAGCCATACCCAAGCCCGAAGTGTGGAACACCCGAGCCTCGAACTCGCGACCTGTTGGTTTAGAAGTCCACGCCTCTACCCAGCGGGCCACGAGCCCGTTGCCCTGTCGGTCCTATCAAGCTGGAATGAAATATCTCTACAAACTTTTCTCCCAGAATCCGTACCTGCATGACTATACGTCAATGCCTGAGGCACCAGCAATTAAAGGGGGAAGGTATTTCGAATGCTACCGCCGCTCGGACAGCAAAAGCAACCCGCTGCTAACTCCTCCCATGCGTGAACGGTGCACCTCAACTAGTCGAGAAACAACTAAGGAAAACAGATTTACAGCACTTCGGCCGGCAACTACCTCGCGCACACAGCTTGTACACCGTAAGGACAAGGTTGGCTAACTCAAAAGAGGTGTTGTCTGCGAACCTCGTGTTCCAGTTACGATGCCGCCTATTGTGGCAAAGCTGGGAAATCCGTCTCAACCAGTATACGTGGACATCACTTAGTGGTAAAGAGAGGCGCAAATTTGCATGGGAGAACATTCGCATTGTTGGCGCCTGCCCAATAAGGAAAGGCCGCGAATTCCTGGAGGCAATGCCTATCGATCTAGATGCCACATACAAAATTGTTGAGGATAAATTCAAACTGGTTCAACCAATTCCGAGGAGGTGACAAATTGCAATTAACACGCATCGGCACAGACTTTAACCAATGGAATCGTTTGTTAATTGTTTATGCACGCCCACCGTCTGAAGACGAGCAGAGGAACCAGTCTCTAAAGTTTATACAATAAAATTCAGTTTCTCAAAGAATTCAATCTTTGAAAACAAGCATGTAAAGCAGAATTTATTGGGGCCAACAAATTTCGTGACGGCTTTTCAACTGCAACCCGTCTCTGCATAACATAGGTAACGAATGAACGCGCACAGCAGTATGAATTTGTACAGAATGGCAGTGCATAGGAGCAAGGTCAAAGTTCAAAATAATCAATAATCAGCTAAGACGTCCACATAAGCATCAAAAAGGAAAAAAGGAAGACGAAATGTTAACAACAAATCACAGTCAGAGGAAAATAGAGGCGTGAGATTACCAGGGCAATTGCAGATTGATCACATGATCTTACTGCTTACACAGGTCTGGTTTCTCCCTCCGTATGTAGGCTGCTTCCAAATAACGCAAGGTTCGAGTTGTACGTGCTCGGACAAGTACTCGAAAGGATGCTTTAGGGTCGACAACATGACCGCTATCTAACAGGTGTTTCGTTATAGACGAACGGGGGGTTCTATTTTCCTGTTTGAAAAGCCAATTAGGCAAATGCTCAGCGGCCCTGGTCGCCAATTGCCTTTGCGTTCGCCCAATGTACTTGCATCCGCAAGTGCATGTGAATTCATACACACAATTGGGGGTGGCGTGCATTGGCAAGGCATCCTTTGCCCGGTTAATTGGAAGGCTTTTTGTGGAACTGATGAAGATAAGCTCTGCTGCGTTGTACGTTCTTTCTATAGTGCATCGCAAGCGTCGCTTGATTGTGTTTGATACGTTGTCACCCTTAAAAGGTAGACATATTATAACGGGCTTCTTCGGAACGGACTGTTCCGTCAACTTTGGCCGTAAATGGTTGCTGTACTTCTGAATGAAGCGTGCAGGATAACCACGATTTGTTGTTAACATTTCGTCTTCCTTTTTTCCTTTTTGATGCTTATGTGGACGTCTTAGCTGATTATTGATTATTTTGAACTTTGACCTTGCTCCTATGCACTGCCATTCTGTACAAATTCATACTGCTGTGCGCGTTCATTCGTTACCTATGTTATGCAGAGACGGGTTGCAGTTGAAAAGCCGTCACGAAATTTGTTGGCCCCAATAAATTCTGCTTTACATGCTTGTTTTCAATTCATACCGGGGAAAAAATGCTTCAAAATTCAATCTTTCTAATAAAACTTCTTCGGATGCCTACTTTTTTCAATTCATATATACATATTTGTACTGGAAGCGCCCAAATTCAATACATGGCGCCCGTGAACGGCCGCGAACGATTATCGATTTTCACGTGCACTGCCAGATGTTAACTGTTGCCGGCACATTTACTCTCAGTCTGCGTCTGACGACGACCTGGGGAACCGGCGTCGAAAATTCACGCAATAAAGTACCTTTTTCCCAAAGCACGCCTCTGCCTCCAACATATACATAAACCAGAATGCACCATCAGACAGCAAATCATGAAGCCCAAAGGCCCGCTCCCAACAGCAGGCCAGTCAGCGGTGGTCTACAGCATACCATGCCTAAATTGCAATGAGAGGTATGCTGGTGAAACAGGCAAACGCCTCCGCACAAGATTGCACGAACACCAACTTGCAAATAACCGCAAGGACAAGCTGTCTTTGGTCTATGGCCACTTACGAGAACTGAACCACGATTTTGCCTTTGAGAAAGCGAGGGTAATTGGTCGGGCCAATGAGAAGATGGACAGACTGGCGCTCGAAAGTTGGTCCTCGACTGGCACACTCAACCGAGCTATAGATCTACATCCCGCCTACCAGGCGCTGCGTACAAGGCTCGGATCAGTCCGGACAGGACCAGTAAGGCAAGCGAGCACGCGGGACCGATAGTCAGCGCTCACGGAAAAGAGCAGAGTTGGGGGCCAGAGGTCATGTGACCAAAGCCGAACACTGTCTCACCGATGCGCCCGCGAAGCTGGATGCTACTCGTATGAACAGCAACGACCGATCTGTCCACCGGCTGACGTGGGAGAGGCCAAGCGGCACGTTGATTTGACAACAATTACGCCGACCCCAAAGGGGAAAAAGGTTACGCAGGCCTGTCAGCGGTCAGCCCCTGGGAGGTCTAAGCCAGTCAGCGGCAAACCTGCAGGTCAGAGTTTGTGCGTCGAGCACGGCTATAATACGAGGCAAGCGGCAAGACTGAACAACTCAAGAACGGCAGGAGTCACGAGTACGCTATTCTGATGATGGAAACGAGGAAGTTTCCGAAACGTACGTTCGAATACAATATGGTCCATGAATTCGCTCTCTTCTTCGTCTTCTTCGGGAGATGATGGACGCGATACAATGTCTGGATCTCGAATTTTTACGCATACCGATATATATATATATTCATGTTATTGAAAATTAGACTACTAATTAACGCAAAAAATAAGGTGGGTAATTGTGCTTAAAATAATCTGGTTTTATTTAGAGCGGACAGGGGAGCGGAGGATTAATTACAGGGGAGTGCGTAAGAAAGCCCACACAAGACACTTATCCGACAATAAAGGGGATATACAGAAGTGGGAGAGTGGTTCAAAACAGGGGGTGAGTCTTGTAGCATTCAGCATGGTAGTGCACTTATATTTTCAATCTGACACGGATAAGAAAGCAGCATTATAGCTGCTTAATCTGAACTCAAAAACTCTAAGGACTTGATTTTACAAGCTAAAAGTTCTTCGCAGGGAAGCAAGGGGCAGAGGACACCGAGTCGCTATGTTGTTACTCTATCCGACATAGGTTGGTGGAATCGTTGAAGTAAAACAAAAAGGAGGATACCAGAGGGACGATGGTAAGGAGGACGGGACTCTTACAGACGCCGAGTAACGAATCGGAGGGCGGCGGCGATACCCAATGTGCCCAAGATCACACCGCCGATGCTGACAAGGGCTCGCAGGAATTGAGACTGCAGATTATCATCGGCACCCGCCTCAAATGCTACTAGACCCTCCTGTCGAGAAAATGAAGGGAAGGTTAGAGGGTAAAGACAAGTGGGCAAATGATGCTTGCAAGCGGACTCCGTAGCATTCCTTATTAGTCGGCTTAAACTGCATTAATCCCGCGAGGGTGCACCACTGACATAGCAATAAAGGTCTACGGTAGGTGATTTTCATAAAAAAAAAACAGTAAAATCTCGATCACGAAAGCAATAATCATCGGGATAATCGGCTCAACGGCTATATGAAGAGATCCGCCATGGTAGGATGTGATAAGAGTTCTCAGTGAAGCTGTTTATTCGAACGCATCAGTTCTAGCGTTCCTGTCATGTCACTGACCCTATTACCTTTAACCCTGAGATGCGCTCATTGTAGCTTCCCACGTTTGAGCATACGCAACAACTTCATCGTAACTAACGCATGAAAATAACAACGATCTTGTCGCCGAAGCTTGCCTGCTCAATCACAGTATTGTTTTTACTTTAAGGAATGGGGGATTTTTTCCTGTGATGTCGCCTTTCAGTTATTTTATTGGTGCCTTAGCAAAGTACCCAGTTGTTGTGGTTGACAATCCAGTTCCACAGGTTGCGGTCCTCATGGATGTATTCTGTGGTCCAGATTATATAATGTACGGCACGACGATCTAGCCGACCAACGATTGCTCGATCACCGGCATCGTTGCCACACCGAAGAGGCGACAGCTTGTCCTCGGGTCGTGGACCCTCATTGGTCAATGGTGAGAGGTAGCACGCATCCGTCTGGTCTACAGAGTAGGTGGCGTCAGTGGAGGGGATCGGAGCGTCGTACATCGCTCGGGTCGTCTCGGTGGTCCACCGCGGAGGCGTCTGAAAAGTGCCGGTCGTGGAAGCAGCCGAAGAGGGAGTCTATTAAGAGAGAGATTGATAGAGTGAGAAAAGCAAAAACGACGAAAAACGCACACACTGACTGACCTCTTATAAAG